TCCGAAGGGGAGAGCCTCCAGGGGGTGCTGCACGGGTCCGCTCTGGCGCCCAACTGTCGGAGATGTCCCATTGCGAAACACTGGCTTGGGCTTCCAAGATCACCGCGATGTGGCAGGCCTGGCAAGTGAGCATCCCAGGGGGAGCCGCCACGGGGTGTTACTAGAGGAACGAAAAACATCACAAGCACAAGCTTTTGGACGTCCGCGCGGGTTTCTTGGATCCGCGCTGGATCCCCCTCGGTAGCGCGCGATCCAAAACATCCGCGCGGACCGCCGAACCATTCCTGCTGATGCAATTGTTTGTTTTTCGAGTTACACGGGCCCCAGATTGTAGGGACGTCTCGAGCGAAACGTCGGGCTTGGCTTACCCGACTCCCAACTCTGCGCTGTATCGGGATCGCGAAATCGGATCGGATCGAGAGCGGATCGAATAGCCAGCGAATCGTCCCGAATCGAATTGGTATCGAATCGCCGAGCCCCGCTTCTGGCTGGTCCTGGCCGATGCCGGTGAACAGAGCCCGATCGCATCGAATTGGAATCGCGGCCCCAGACGGCGAATCGAATCGCATCGAATCGGATCGTGGGCGGCCCTGACTCCTCCCTCGAGGGAGCCGCGTGATCACCGCGACGAGGCAGGTATCCCGCTTGGGCATCCCAGGGCGATCCGCCTGGGAAGGCCCGGTCGTCATGCCCAGAACCACGTACGATCAGAGTCAGTCGTACTGAGCCGGTTGTGCGCAGGATCGCTGCCTCTCGGGCTACTGTCTTCAGGCACTCGCTGGCAGGGAGCTCGATGCATGTTTGGGAGCGGGACCGCGCGCGGACGCGCGACTTGTCACCCTCGCCACGCTCCGCGCAGATTTCGCTCGTCGCCGTCGCCGTCGCCGTCGCCGTCGCCGTCGCCGTCGCCGTCGCCGTCGCCGTCGCCGTCGTCGTCGTCGTCGCCGTCGCCGTCGCCGTCGTCGCCGTCGCCGTCGTCGTCGTCGTCGTCGTCGCCGTCGCCGTCGTCGTCGTCGTCGCCGTCGTCGTCGTCGTCGCCGTCGCCGTCGCCGTCGTCGCCGTCGCCGTCGTCGTCGTCGTCGCCGCCGTCGTCGTCGTCGTCGTCGTCGTCGTCGTCGTCGTCGTCGTCGTCGTCGTCGTCGTCGTCGTCGTCGTCGTCGTCGTCATGGTCGGCGGAAAGCGGCAGCGGGGCCACGCGCGAGTGGGCGAAGTCTCGTCCTCGCCCAGGCGCCGCGCCGAGGGAGCGTGACGGTGGCAGTGCTGCTCCGACGCGGCGCCTGCTCTGTCTTGGCCACTCTCGGCGGAACTTTGGCCGCGCGAGATGGGGAGCCCGTCGAGGACGCACGCGCCCAGCCACGTACGCGAACACGGCTCCCCAGTCCGCGAGACCAACCTCGTGACACGAACGTGCACGCGAGACTCGCGTACGTGTGCCCATCGGTCAGAAGGAGTGGGGTAGAAACATGAAGCAGGGAGGCGTTGAAAGTAGATTGTTCCGTCCGCCCCCTGTGGAGGACGGACAGGGCGAAGCCACCCGATCATTGAAGTAGGAAGGCGCGTACAGTATATTGAAATCTGGGAGTCCGAGAAGAAGTACTTTCAACGACCGATGGGTACGTCCTTCTTGCGCTTGGGGCGAGAAAGGGTACAATGGTGTGCTCTCTCGCCGCAGCGCCGCGGAAAGGAACCTCTGGAAATTCCGTTACCCGCCCGTGGGCGGGCGGCCCGTGCTTTCCTTCCCCCCCTCGCCAAAAATCATCGGGAGCTGGACCAGGCGCGAGCGCCTTCCGTTCTAAAGAGGCCCAGAGACACACACACACACACACACACACACACACACGCACGCACGCACGCACGCACGCACGCACGCACGGACACACACACACACACACACACACACGCACACACACACACACACACGCACACGCACACGCACACGCACACGCACACGCACACGCACACGAACACGCACACACACAAGTAGATAGACACAGATCCCAGGATTCCCCATGTTTTTCCATATTTGATGGGTTTTCGTCTTCCCCTCCCCCTTCTCACATCTCTCCATATTTTCCTGGGGAGTCGCCGATGAATCGTGTCTGTGTGTTTTCCCCCTCCTGATTCCCCCCTCGCCAAGTCACCGGAAGCTGGGCCAGGCGCAAGCGCCTTCCGTTCGCCAGGTGGGAGCGCGCGCCAGTCCCGGCCAGGTTGCGCCAGCACTACAGCACTCCGCGAACTCGCACGCAAGTTTTTGCTCCGAGCCCCTCTCGCCCCCGATTTGCAGTGTGCAGTGGCGCGTGGAGGGCGGCCCACGGGGTCCGAACAGCAAAGACGCAGTTGCCAGGTTCGGCGCGAGCGCTGAAACTGAGGGTCCGGGGGCGCCGCCACATCGCGGGAGCACAAAGCCTTGCGCCCGACTCCGCGAAGGGATGCAGCCTTGGTTGCTGTGAGAAGGAGGGTGGGCCACTAACTCGCTCGTCCTGGCCAGCTTGTCTTGGCTCCTCCCCCCAACTCCTCCAACCAATCTCTCCGAACTCTCCCCGTCGGACTCCTAAGACGAAGCCAGGACGAGGGAAACATCGGATGAGTAGAAGAAGGAAACGCGGCATGAACATAAACTTTGGGCGCTCCGCGCGGATTTCTTGGATCCGCGCTGGGCCCCCCAGCTCCGGCGCCGCCCCTGGCGCGCTCCGCGCGCCAGGGAGGGGGGTCCAGCGCAAAAAGTTTATGTTGATGCTGTTTTCTTCTTCGAATGAGGACAAGAATGAAGACAAATCGAGAGTCTCTGAGATCTGGCGGTTCTGGAGGACCGACCCTGTCGGCGTGTGTGAGGGGCTTTTCCGTTCGAGCCGTCATCTCCGTCATTCTTTGTACTCGTCGTCTCTGTCCTTCCCTTTCCCTACTTCCCCTGGGCTCCAGCCAAGCCGACCTTGAGCAACCTCTCGAAGGGAAGTCCCTTTGATCCCTTTCCCTGGGAGACCTCTTCCCCTGGGCTCCAGCCAAGCCGACCTTGAGCAACCTCGTAATTGAGTCGAAGGGAAGCCCCTTCCCTTTGATCCCTCCCCCGCCGGGAGGGGGGGGGGGTGTCGACCCCCCCCCCGGGTCAGATACGACGCCCCCCCCTGGGACTCCTCTTCCCCTGGGCTCCAGCCAAGCCGACCTTGAGCAACCTCGTAATTGAGTCGAAGGGAAGCCCCTGTCGGCGTGTGTGAGGGGCTTTTGCGTTCGAGCCGTCATCTCCGTCATTCTTTGTACTCGTCGTCTCTGTCCTTCCCTTTCCCTGGGAGACCTCTTCCCCTGGGCTCCAGCCAAGCCGACCTTGAGCAACCTCGTAATTGAGTCGAAGGAAAGCCCCTTCCCTTTGATCCCTCCCCCGCCGGGAGGGGGGGGGGTTGATCCCTCCCCCGCCGGGGGAGGGGGGGGGGGGTCGACCCCCCCCCCGGGTCAGATACGACGCCCCCCCCTGGGACTCCTCTTCCCCTGGGCTCCAGCCAAGCCGACCTTGAGCAACCTCGTAATTGAGTCGAAGGGAAGCCCCTTCCCTTTGATCCCTCCCCCGCCGGGAGGGGGGGGGGGTGTCACCCCCCCCCGTGTCAGATTACGACAGCCCCCCCAGGGTTCAGATACGACCCCCCGGCCCTGGAACTCCTCTTCCTCCTGGGGCGCCAGCCAAAGCGACCTTGAGCAACGCCGTGGGCTCCAGCCCAGCCGACTTGAGGTCAAACGTCGTATTGAGTCGAAAGGGACCCCCCCTTCCTTGGATCCCTCCCCCGCCGGATGGGGGGTGGGGGGGTGGTCGACCCCCCGCCCGGGTCAGATACGACCGCCCCCCCCTCCTGGACTTCCTCTTCCCTGGGCCGGAACAAGAGAAAGCCGACCTGAGCAACCTCCCCCTAACGTATTTGAGTCGAAGGAAGCCCTTCCCTTTGGATCCCTCCCCCGCCGGGGGGAGGGGGGTGTCCACGACCCCCCTCCCGAGTCAGATACGACGCCCCCCTTGGGCTCCTCTTCCCCTGGGCTCCAGCCAAACCGACCTTGAGCAACCTCGTAATTGAGTCGACGGGAAGCCCCTTCCCTTTGATCCCTCCCCCGCCGGGAGGGGGGGGGGTAGCGACCCCCCCCCCCCGGGTCAGATACGACGCCCCCCCCTGGGACTCCGCTTCCCCTGGGCTCCAGCCAAGCCGACCTTGAGCAACCTCGTAATTGAGCCGAAGGGAAGCCCCTTCCCTTTGATCCCTCCCCCGCCGGGAGGGGGGGGGGGTAGCGACCCCCCCCCCCGGGTCAGATACGACGCCCCCCCCTGGGACTCTCTTCCCCTGGGCTCCAGCCAAGCCGACCTTGAGCAACCTCGTAATTGAGTCGAAGGGAAGCCCTTCCCTTTGATCCCTCCCCCGCCGGAGGGGGGGGGGTGTCGACCCCCCCCCGGGTCAGATACGATGCCCCCCCCTGGGACTCCTCTTCCCCTGGGCTCCAGCCAGCCGACCTTGAGCAACCTCGTAATTGAGTCGAAGGGAAGCCCCTTCCCTTTGATCCCTCCCCCGCCGGGAGGGGGGGGGGGGTAGCGACCCCCCCCCGGGTCAGATACGACGCCCCCCCCTGGGACTCCTCTTCCCCTGGGCTCCAGCCAAGCCGACCTTCAGCAACCTCGTAATTGAGTCGAAGGGAAGCCCCTTCCCTTTGATCCCTCCCCCGCCGGGAGGGGGGGGGGTAGCGACCCCCCCCCCGGGTCAGATACGACGCCCCCCCCTGGGACTCCTCTTCCCCTGGGCTCCAGCCAAGCCGACCTTGAGCAACCTCGTAATCTCTTGCTGCGCATTGCGAACAGGGTCGGCGGCACCGGCCGTCAGGCCTTCGCAATCGAGAGTCTCTGAGATCTGGCGGTTCTGGAGGATGTGTCGGGCGCCGCGGCCTGCTCAGAGCGTTCCGGAACGGATGTGTACCCTCGTCCTACAGGCCCGCCCGAGCCCTCCACGCGACGAACCGCGCCCGGGGAGTGCGTCCTGCGCGAGCACAGTGACGAGGACCATGGTAGTGGTGCCGTTGCCGAACCTGGTTCCGAGGCGCGCGGCGCGCGGGCGCGCGGCGCGCGAGCGCGCTGGCCCACGGCGCCAGGGACTAGGCAAGCGCGTTCCACTACTCGCTAAGCCACTACTCGCAAGTGGCCTTGATCCGCCGCGGAAGACTAACGATGCATTGCATGGAAAGGAAGACAGAGGCAAGCGCGTTCCACTACTCGCAAAGTCATTACCCGCAAATGGCCTGGATCCGCCGCGGAAGACTTACGATCCATTACAGCGAGGCGAATGTTTGTTTTTTCCTCCCCCGACGTTTGCGAGCAGGCACTTTGCGAATACAGTGGAAGCCAATCTAAACAAATCTTCAACAAGAAAACCACTGATATTTGGTGTGGGCGCGTCACGCTCCCCACAGCAAAACCATCGAAGTCCGAGAAACCCGGGGCACCCTGGAGGCAGGCAGGGCGTTTCTTAGCACAGGTCTCCACTGTACACCACCGCCACCGCGCCTGGCCACGGCGACCCTGGGCCCCGGCATGGTGCACGTAACTACTCCATTCTTGGCCGAGGCCCGATGGGCCTGTGCACCGACCCCGGGGCAGAGGGTGGCCCTGGCCACGCATGGCGGTGCTGTGTGGATGCCTTTTGCGGAACGTTTCCTCCTCTTCCTCCTCCTCCTCCTCCTCCTCCTCCTCCTCCTTTCCTCCACCTCCTCCTCCTCCTCCTGTTTTCCTTTTCCTTGTGAATAACTCCCCCCTGTCGCACCCTGGGCCGGGCGTTTCGCCTGAGACTTCCTCATCATGTATGAGCCTGAAGCTAAACATTAGCAAAAACTTCACGGATTGACCGCGGGTCGTTTCCGAAGTGTGGCTCTCGCCTCGGTGCCGCCTCATTCGTTTGAAAATTTGCAAAAGAGCTTCACGGATTGAAGGCGGGTGTTTCTTCTTCTTCTTCTTCTTTCAGGCGATTCCACAGCCCCTGGTCACTTTCCCACGTTGTGTTGCGTGACTCTACTTCGGCTGCCGCTTTCTCACTGTGCACTAGCTGCCGCCTTTCTTGCCTCTGCCAGCGTCTCTCCCCGTCGGGGTCGTCACTTTCCCACGTTGTGTTGCGTGACTCTACTTCGGCTGCCGCTTTCTCACTGTGCACTAGCTGCCGCCTTTCTTGCCTCTGCCAGCGTCTCTTCCCGTCGGGGTCGGGGTCTGCCCCGGACTCGCCGGGTCGCCAACCGCGACTCTTGGCCGCGCGATGCGATCAGGCGCTGCCAGCGCATCCACTCCGCGCCGCGATAGCCGAGCACCCGCGGCGTCCAAGGCTGCGGGTCGTGGCCGCGGCGAATGTGGGATTCCCACAACACGTGCGCCTTTGCCACCACGCCTGACTCCAGCGCCCGGTCCTGGCGGCCAGGAACGAGGCGATCGTGCGGCAACGTAATACAAAAGCGGCCCAATCCTCGTTCGGCGCTGGCCAGATGTCGAAGGTGATGGCCAGGAACTGGTGTTGCAGGCGGTCGAGGCTGCTGGCGTGCGTCATCTGGTACGGCCAGCGCGAGAAGCGGTACTTGGCGATGCTCAATACGCCGCTGGTCAGGAAACGAAGCTCGGCACCCTCGCTTGCTCGACGCAGCCCTTGGTCCAGATTGCCCAAAAACGCTCGGAGCATCGCCGCCGTGGCCGCCGCGTAGCACGAGGTGATGCCCCCATTGTGGTCGATGATGTGGCCCAGCCTCTTCATGGATTCCTTCTTGTCCCAACTGTGCTGCGAGACCACGTTGTCGCAGCCGCCCTTGCAAATAAGATATTCCCGGGAGTCGCTCCCGATCTGCAAGTTCCATCGCTTGCTGAGCTGCTCCGCGCAATCGTCCTGAATGCGGATGGCAGCTGCTGGGTCCTTGGAAGCCGCGAGGAGGTTGTCCACGAAAGAAGCCAGGCCTGTGCCTTCGAAGCCGAGCGACTGCCAGAAATGCATCCGCTGCGACGCCACGTCCAACAGCGGGATGCGCCCAGCTGCGCCAGCGCTCGGGGAGCCTGTGTGCATGCCGACGGTGCGGGCGTTCAGCGCTGCGAAAGCAGACCCCACCTTGAGCACGACGAGCAGGCACGTATGCAACTTCACCAGGGTGGCGGCCTCGTCAGACGAGCCGGTTTCGTCCCTGAGCAGGGCATCGTAATACTTCGCACGTCCTGCTGGCAGGCGCAGCCCTGGGACTCATTGTCCATGCCTTTCTCGATGACGAGCGCCAGCGGGCGAACGGCATCTAAAGTCTGGCGCCTGCTCTTGGCGCACCCAATGTATGGCGATATCGACGCCGCCAGCAGGACTCGGGCCGCGTATCTGTCAACGATGTCGTTCACTCGCTTTCCCAAGATATAGTCGGCAACAGCCAAAATGTGGCTGTCGCATTGGCGCCGCGCACGTTCGCTTGACAAAAATTGCACGAGCTTCATGGATTGAGGGCGGGTCGTTTTCAAATGCGACTCTCGCCTTGGCGCCGCGTACATTCGTTAAAAATGATCCCAGTGCGACCCTACCTAGGAGTTGGAGCCTCTAGGAAAGCAACATTAATAGGAGCGGTAAACGCCGTCCTCCTCCTTCTCCTCATCGTCGTAGTTGTAGCAGTAGCGGCGGTAGTAGTAGTAGTAGTAGTAGTAGTAGTAGTAGTAGTAGTAGTAGTAGTAGTAGTAGTAGTAGTAGTAGTAATAGTAGTAGTAGTAGTAGTAGTAGTAGTAGTAGTAGCAGTAGTGGTAGTGGTAGTGGTAGTAGTAGTAGTAGTAATAGTAGTAGTAGTAGTAGTCGTAGTAGTAGTAGTAGTAGTAGTAGTAGTAGTAGTAGTAGTAGTAGTAGTAGTAGTAGTAGTAGTAGTAGTAGTAGTAGTAGTAGTAGTAGTAGTAGTAGTAGTAGTAGTAGTAGTAGTTAGTAGTAGTAGTAGTAGTAGTAGTAGTAGTAGTAGTAGTAGTAGTAGTAGTAGTAGTAGTAGTAGTAGTAGTAGTAGTAGTAGTAGTAGTAGTAGTAGTAGTAGTAGTAGTAGTAGTAGTAGTAGTAGTAGTAGTAGTAGTAGTAGTAGTAGTAGTAGTAGTAGTAGTAGTAGTAGTAGTAGTAGTAGTAGTAGTAGTAGTAGTAATAGTAGTAGTAGTAGTAGTAGTAGTAGTAGCGCCAGAACCACCGACGCCACGCCGTAAGTGAAGCAGCAGCAGAAGCAGGCAGCAAGTCGCCGAGATCACAGCAAAAGCAAGCAGGCACGGAGATGAGGGCGGGGCACTGGGGAGTTCTTTACATCTACATATATATCTACACTTACATCTACATCGACACCTGCATCTAGACCTACATCTACATCTAAACCTACAGCTACATCTACACCTGCATCGACATCTACATCTACATCTACATCAACAGCGAGACTCACATCTACATCTATATCTACACCTACATCTACATCTACATCTACATCTACACCTACACCTACATCCACATCTACACCTACACCTACACATACACCTACATCTACACTTTCGCGTTGGTGTTGCTTTTGCTTTGCATTGCCTTTGCGTTTGCTCTTGCCTTTGCTTTCGCATTTGCCTTTGCTGTTGCTTTTGCTTTTGCTATGCTATGCTATGCTATGCTATGCAATGCTATGCTATGCAATGCTATGCTATGCTGCGCAATTCTATGCTGGGCTAGGCTAGGCTATGCTATTATATGTTATGATATGCTATGCTGCGCAATGCTATGCTGCGTTATGCTATGCTATGCTATGCTATGCTATGCTATGCCATGCTATGCTATGATATGCTATGCTATGCTATGCTATGCTATGTTGTTGCTTTGCCTTCGCTTTTGCCTTCACTTTTGCCTTTGCTTTTGCTTTTGCTTGGCACCCAGGGAGCGCAACTGGGGGAACCGCGCGTTCGCTTTTACCTTTGCTGTTGCTTTTGCTTGGCTCCCAGGGCGGTTTGCACTGCCCGGCCCCTTTAAGCCAAGCGAGTAAGAACCCTTCTAGGCAGAGCCTAAGTAGGGAACAAATTGCAAGAGCTTCACGGATTGAGGGCGGGTCGTTGTCAAAATGTGGTTCTCGCTTTAGCGAGTTTCAACATTTGCAAGAGTTTCACGGATTCCAATGATCAGCGTACCAGAAACGGTGTTTTGGACGGATTAAGATTTTGGAGAGTTAACAGTTACATTGATTCGCGGTGTTGAAATCCAAAGAATGGCGTTCTGGCGCGATTCAGGATGGTCAAAACGCCAGAGTCTGGTTGATCCGTGAAGTAATCCCGAAAACCATGTTTTGGCATGCTTCAGGGTCTTCAAACGGTTGTTTTCCAACGAATGAACCATTGTATGGGGCCTATGGAGGGGGAGTTTTGGGGAGGGTTTATTCCAACATCTTTGATGACTCTCGGGTTTAGACTGGTCTCCTCCTCGCTCCTCCTCCTCCTCGAGGGCGAGGGCGAGGTGGGGGAAGGCGAAGGGCGGGCGCTCGGGCTGGCTGAGGCTAAGTGTGACGATGGCCAGGCCCTGTGCACGGGCAGGCCGTGGAGGAAGGACGCTTCGGGCCCTCTGGGTGTGCAGGGGGGGGGGCGATGGCCACCGCGGGCACGACGGGCCGCCGCACCCATGTTGCGACGCCTCGGGCCTGCCTAGGGCGACCACGGCTCCAGCGGGTCTATCCCAACGCGGTCGGCGCACTCCTCACCGCAAAAATCCGCGCCAGAGCCACACCCACAGCCCCAGTGGCTGTGTCCACATGCAGTCCACAACTCAGAGCGAAACCCTGGGCGGCCATGTTATGGCCGCCAGAATCGGCCCAACTCGCGGCCCGGATGTCGCTTGCCAGTCTGTGCAGCCAGCGTGCACGCGCAAGCATTCTGGCACACCCTTCACGCGTCCAGTGTCCCATGTGGAGTGACAGCACTGCCCCAGTGGGGGGGGGCCCGCGTGCGGTTCCCGCCTCACTTCGGCACACACCCCACGCACTTCATTGCACCGCAGGGGACCCCAACTGCGGCTCCAGCGGACTCTCCCGCCCTTGCTCGCGCGTCCCCCGCACTTCTGAGGCGCTCGGCAAGCAACGAGAGGGCCGCCCTCGACGCTACATCAGGCTGCCAAGGGCTGGAGCCTCGGGCTAAACTGATGTGTCAGTCGTTGGGCCCGGTTGATCTTGGGAATGACCGAGGAATGACCAATCGGCACCCTGTGCCGTCCCTAGGCTCAGCCAGAGTCTGACTCGGATTCCGCTCGCCGGGCCAGCGCAGGAGCCTCGGCGTCCTCACGCCTGGGCTGTGCCACGACCCCTTCGAGCTGGGAATCCGCCACTCCACGAGGGGAGCTTGAATTATCAAGGCCCGCGGGGACATATCCCACTACGGCGTACGAGGCTGCGGACAGCCTGACAGCCTGCACGAAGGGCCGGTTGATCTTGAGAGTCCGCGGTGCCGGTCCGAAAGCATGAGGAACTAGGCGAGGGGAGAGAAGGTTCGAAATGGAGCCGACGCGCGCGCCTCCCGCGGTCCACGTGCCGCCGCGGCGCAATAACATCGACAAGGCTTCCGCCACTTGCCATGCGACCCCCCAAAGGTGTCGAACCACGAGAAGATGCTACAGAGAGGGAGCGAGCGAGCGAGCGAGCTCGGGTCTTCGGCCCGACGGGCCGGCCCTGCGAGGGCGCGGGCGGGGCGGGGCCCAGAGAGGAGGGGCGGAAGGGAGGAGGGTCGAGAAGAGGAGGAGGAGGAGGAGGAGGAGGAGGAGGAGGAGGAGGAGGAGGAGGAGGGTTCACATGTTCTCTGGAGCTGGAGTTCGGAAGGACAAGGGCCAAGGGAAAGGAGGTCAAGGAGCTGGGGGAAAAGGACGTGTAGGAGCAGGAGTCCATCTTCGGTCTGGTAACTGTGGTGTTGGTGGGGGGGGGGCAAGAGGTCTCGGAGGTACGCGTCCGCAGTCTGACTCTGGCCCCAAGTACCAATCCACTGATCCCATTGACGAATTGCACCGCATCGCGCAGATGGCCACCAATGGGCGCCTCAAGGACCTCCTGCCCGAAGCGGCCAAGAAAGCTCTCTCGTCTGCGTATGAAGAGGTCCGTCTTTCCCGTCAGCAGGATGTTCCCCCGTCCAAGGTCCTCTTCAAAGCCGAGCAGGCTCAAAAACAATGTGAGAAGAAGATTGCCCGTTTGCGCGAACAGCCCCAGAGTCTCCAGTCCAAGATTGCGGAGATGGTCAACCAGAAAGCTGAGTTGGACGAAGCCATTGTTGATGAATCCACCGCACTGGAGAAGCTCAAGGAAGCTGCTGCTAATGCTGTGTCGTCTGTCCCCCCCAGCATGGAATCGCTCGGCGTTCACATGGGGGAGTTCAGGAGTGTCATTGCAGGTGTTGCAGCTGTTGAGGTTTGTGAGTTTGCAGTCAGAATATGAGTCGCTCCTCGGCCAGTTCGAGTCTCTGCTCCCCCGGAGCGTCCCGCGGCCGCCCCAGACCTCGTTCCAGGGGCCTGCCATGGAGATCGACGAAGTGGATCTGGCCGAGGCGTGCGAGGGCGTGCCTGGCATCGACGCGGCGCAGAAGAGGGAGCTGCTGGACGCCCTACAGAACGCTGCCAAGAAGCCTCGCTTTCGGAGCCCTGGTCCTGGAGGTCGACCCACTGGATCTGCCGCGTTCCACCGCCCACAACCGAGTTGGGAGGGCGTCGGGGGGACTGAAGAGCAGGAGCCCGATCTTTTGCATCAGAACACCGTGTTCAAGGATTTCAGCGCCGACGCAGAGCTCGCGGGCAACTCCGCGCCCTGCGGGTGCAGGTCCGTCGACAGACCTGGCCTCTGCAGACCCCCTGATCCCTAGGCCTCACCCAGGGCCTCAGTCAGGGGGGCGTCTCAGGGGCTAGGTCGGGAGTTCGTCACCTGGGTCGTCCACCAGGGGGTTGATTTCGAGCTGGACCTGGAGCACTTTTCCGTCTTCATCTTCTGCGGAGTCTCCAGGGCCCACCAGTGGATCAGTGACGCTGACTGGGCCGCCAACCTCGTCAGGACCGTGGACCGCGGGAGGGTCTACGCCATGGGCATCAAGGCCCACCTCGCCCCCATCGATGGCTGCACCAAGTTCAGAAAGAACAAAACAAAACATTGTTCAGGACGTTCAGGTGAGAATGTGCCCCGCCAGTCGCAGCGCCCAGCCAAGCATGAGTCCTCGCTATCGCC